AATAAGGTTTGAAGTTAATGTCATGTGGCTAATTTTTGATACCTATATAAGCAGACCCTCTTAACATATCAAGTCCATAACATCTTTGGCTCTGTAACAACTACCTTTGTTTGCAGGAGCTAAACCATCTTGTAAAATGGGAGATCAGACATTTGCACACCCGGTAAATATATGCAAGCTCATGCCATTTTTGTCAAAATATAACGCTTTATTTTCCCTTGTCATACTCTTTTTGATATTGATGATGATGATTCACGTTCATGGTTTTGAAAATTTCTTTCCAATTGCATTCTCTAGCTATCCACTAAAATTGACTTTGGAATGTGACATTTTTATTATTACTCGTAATACTTTGTCCAGCTTTTAATTCTTAGAGCTAGCATCTCTTGATCTTATGGTTGAACAAATAGTAAACAATTGAGAAGAAAGAAATATTGCTTAGTCTTTGTTTCAAATTTGACAGTTCATAATTATTAAGGTCACATAGTCACTGCTTTGAGTTTTTTCTTTTTTTTTTTAATATACAGAAATCATTACAATGTTAAGAAAACATCTGCTGAAGAGTGCTATATTTTGGCATTAGAAATTCGATAGCAATCGATTTTTAGAAGTAGCTACAACAAAGGTAAATTCTCTTCTTGAATCATCTTGAATTTTTATTAGAGCAATAAAAATAGAGACATCATCATAATGATAATAAAAATTTACAACCAATTAAAAAAAATTTAGAAACAAAAAAGAATAGAAAAGTTTGTTCCATGACATTATCCCATTAAGAAGTCTGCAACATAGTTTACATTTTTGGTTATTTCAGTGATATCTACAAAATTCCCAAAAGAAAATTGTTGAGGATGGATAATTTTAAACGAAGAACAAATACTAATTAAGCCTACTTACAATGGAACCATGTGTCATCATAATAACTCTATATTCTCCACTTTAAGAACTCTTAGAAAGATCGGTTAGCTATTTTTTTTGTGAGTGGCAACAACAACAGAAAAGTTTTCGTTTGAAAGGTTAGTGAGTAAATACAATGGTATTAGACATTCTATATTTATAGGGAGAAAGGTCGGCTAGCTAATTTTAGGGTTTAAAGTATCATATATGGAATAAAATATTTGTGAATCCATTTTTTGAAGAAAGATTTAAGGTATATACTTGATTAGTTAGTTTTTTTTTTTGTCAACGATTCGTTAGGTTATGAATATTTAGTTTTTGTTATTTTTGGTAAATATATTAACTGGATTCGTATCATATCGAGAACATCCATAAAATTTGGATATTTTTGAAACTAAATCTTGTTACCTTTACTATCTATTCGAAATTAAAGGGATACGTAATTAATTTTGAGTGTATTGCAGGAAATATCTAATAATATCATTGCCAAATCTTAACCTCTATTGATTGTCACAGGATCCGCTTGATTGTTCCAAAATTATCATACTCCAACAGTCTGGGTCAAGCCCAGGATCCGCGTGTTTATCCGATCCAGTAGCCCAAGATCCGTGGGTTTTTCCCTTTCAAATTATTGTTTTGCCCTTTAACGTTTTTTTTTGTTTACTCTTTGGATGTAATTATCCTAATGGCATTTCTTGTAATATTTTACCTTTTATAAGGTTATTTATTTTTGAATGCTTCCCAATTAATAGTATAGATTGCTAAGTTTTATTAATTTGAAAAACAAAATATTGTAAACATTATTAATTAACAAATAGTATATGATAAATAATAATTAAAGAAAATGTAACTATAAATGCTTGTAATCATAAATCATCGATGTAGATACGTAAGCGTTTAAGCAAACTTCTCACTCTCTATTTATCAGATGTCATCCATGGAATAGGCAATGCCAAATTGTCTAACAAAACTGGATGATGTAATCATCATCATGAATCGTGATAACTACGAATATATACAAATTGTTGGATCAGCAATTATCAGAACACATTAAAAGATTATATAAATGTGCGTATACAAAACTTAGTCGAAGACGACAATTCTTATGAATTTTTTTAAGATGGGTGGCATACTCATAAGTAATAAATAATTTTTTTGTAGATATATAGGAATTACTAAGAATCAACTAATAAAAAATAGTTTATGACCTAATTTTTGGTGGTTCCGTGATTGAAAAATTCATCATGGATTTTAAGAATCAACGTGTCATGCATATATGAATTCTATTTATTTTTAGTTAAACTAATATTGCCTTTTTCTTTTCTTTTTTTTTGAAAGGTTTTACTTAAGAGAATATTTTTGCTTTAACGTTTTTTCTAGTTAGTGATGTTTCATCTTTTTCTTTGTGGAAGAGAAAAAAAAAAGGTTAGAAAGATTATAAATTTTATATGAAAAGAAGATCTCTGTTTGATTACAAATTTAACAAAATTGCATGAAAAATAAAGAAAAAAACTGTCATTTAAACAACAATGGTGGCAAATCTGCTACTTAGATTAAATTCTTAATTTTATTTTGCTAAGTTATAAATACTTAAAATAAAATAACAATAAACAGTATTTCAATGTCGTAGGTTTCTGGTTTTGTACTTCTGTTTTCAGTTTTTCTAGTTTGTTCAAAACCCCAAACATCAAGATCGACTCAGAGTCTGGACAAAAGATCAGTAGAACCTAAACAAATTTCTAAAACTAGCCGACCAATGAAGTGCATCTACTACTTTTGTTTTTTAAATATAGAAATATTTTATTTTATCTGATAAATAAAAAATAATATATAGAGAATCAGTGTCCAGTGAGCGGATAAGGATGCTGTATTTTCAACTATATATTATGATTATCGCCATCTTCTATTGTTTTGTATTTTTTCATTTGAAAAGAAAGTATGGTTTACCAATATATACAGTCTCTTTTTATTAGTTTACTTTATTTTCTTAATTTTATCATTTGAAAATCATTTGAGATAAGACCCGCACAAAAGTAAAATCAAATGGAATTTTGCTTTCAAGATGGATAATTTTCTTTAATATTAAAATTGTCAACCTTGTTAAGCGTAATCTCTAACTCCACAATATTAAAATTACTAAAATAGTCGTCACTGCTCCACGTTTAACCTGTCCAATTCCAAAAGAACTTCGTGTTTCATTGACGATTTAGATTACGTACGTATGATTCTTTCTAAATTGGGTATTTTCTCCGATTAACAATTAAAATGGTTTTGTCCCATTAACAAGGTTAAAAAAACATAATATTTTTTCTTACTAGTTAAAATCGAACTAAGACTTTTGCTATTTATTAGAACTGATCCAGTTTCGTCCTTTTCACAGTGTTCTGAATTTAGACAATCATGTTCGATTTTCATTGGAGTTGCAGAAAAAGGAACTTAATACAAAACGAGGAATTAAATTTGGACAAGTACACATAATTAGAAAGTTACAGAATCTAGTTTTCGTTGGATATTTCTAGAATTATCCTACGACTGTGACAACTAAAATCAACAAAACAACAATTTAAATGCAAAAAAGCAAAAAATAGTAATTACTGGTCTACCTATTAAGGAACAACACCAACACCTATTTAGCTGTTATGTCCTAATAAAAATAAAATAAAAACACAATAACCAAAAAAGTAAAAAAAAAAATCAAAATGTTTGACCAAAAATTCTCTTTCTTTTCCTATTCGTCATATTCGATGAATCTTCCTTTTTTATAACAATTTTGGATAATCTTTTCTAATGTAACAAAACTAGATAACAACCCGCACGATGTGCGGGATGAAGTGATTCAGATAAAATTATTATGATTAAAATTATTATTCGGGATCCAAGATCCGTTTGTGTATAACGAAACATGTTACAATTTTTTTTTTGTTTTATTCAAATTTAAGACTATTTCATATAAGAATATGTTTTACCCGTGAAATATTTGAACCTTGAATAAAGCTTCAACATGATAAAAAAATATTGACGAAATGTTACCATTTATGGCAATATGTCTTTCCGTATGTTTTAAAGATTTCGAGATTTTGTAGTATAAAAAGAATTTTTTTTTTTTAATAAGTAAAAGAAATCCAAAATTTAGCAAAGATGAGATTTGATAGTTTCCAAGCTAAGATTTTGTAGTGTTCCAAATCTAAGATTCTTAGATTATGAATGGATTATTTACGAAATGGTTATAATGTAGTCAGATTTTGGTTTATATACAAATGTGGTTATAATGTTTTTCTTCGAAAAGTTAGAACTCTTCCAAAAAATAGGATTTTAAGTATTCGTAACATATATAGAAAGGAGATTATCTTATTTATTAAAGTAAAAAATTTATGAAAGATGTAAAGATTTTGTAGTTTTGAATTCGAGATTCTTGAACCAAATGTATATATTTTATCATTTAAATATAAACATATATATAAATATAAATATAAATAAAAAAATTGTTTACCCATCCGCTAAAGAAAATTTATATAAATGTATATAAAGAAAAATATAAATATAAAAATATAGTAATATAAGATAAACAAAAAGTGTATGTTTTTAATTATTAATGGGATATATGGATGTATGAGACTAATGGCAAATTCTGTAAATAGTCTAATAAATCTTGGGTAATTATCTAAATAGAAGCCAAATCATTGTGAGCGCGACACATCAGCGTGGCAATCTTGTTAATAACACATGATGGTAAGGTTTTTTTTTTAAAATGTTTCTCTATTAATATATAGGGGATAAAAAACCTTCGAGATTTTTTTTTTTTAATGTAATCTATAAATAAGAGCAACCTAAGAAGAACAACTTCTCCCACTTTCCTTATTTTCGATCTTATCCTTATCCTCTTCCTTGTTCTATTTCTCTTCTAACTAATCTCTCTTAAATATCATCCTAATCATAAAGATCTTCTTGTTTAATTTCTCAAGATCCTCGTCAAATCACAGATTCTTGAAATTCTTTTTTTTATTTTCTTGAAGTTCTTGAGTTATTATGAAATGACAATGGACAGAGTTATGAAATGATAAATCTCAACCAATTTTCACGATTCCTCGTTTATCATTCTATATCCGTTGTGATTCTTCACTGGTTTTACGTTATCTCTTAAAACATTTTTTTTTTTGGTAACATTTTCTCGAACAAAACATGGCAAACGCAGAGAGGACAAGTTCAGGTTCCGACATAGATGAGAAGAAAAGAAAACGCAAATTATCTAACCGCGAATCAGCTAGGAGGTCGCGTTTGAAGAAACAGAAGTTAATGGAAGACACGATTCATGAGATCTCGAGTCTTGAACGACGAATCAAAGAGAACAGCGAGAGATGTCGGGTTGTGAAACAGAGGCTTGACTCGGTCGAATCGGAGAACGCGGTTCTTAAGTCGGAGAAGATTTGGCTTTCGAGTTACGTTAGCGATTTGGAGAATATGATTGCTACGACGAGTTTAACGCTGACGCATAATGATGGTGGTGGTGGCGATTGCGGTGATGATCAGAACGCAAACGCGGAAATAGCGGTTGGAGATTGTAGACGTAGACCGTGGAAATCGAGTTGTGATTCTCTACAACCAATCGCGTCCTTTAAGACATGAGATTTGTGCATTAGTGTGTTGTTTTTACTGTCGTAATTTTTCTAGTTTGTAATCTTTTATATTGAATTGTTTCTTCTCACTACATTCTCTGTTACAATTGCTTTTGTTTTTGTTTTCAACATTTTCATATAACGTTAAATGATTTTAAGTGGTTGACCCAAAAAATATTTTTTGTATCTTACATGTAAATGAGAGTATTGGTGAAGTAATCTAAATTGAAGCAAAAAATGGGGAAGTAATATGTTTTTGAGTATGATCAATTGTGGAAGTAGATATGAATGTATGTTCAAAGAATAATTGGTATTGATTCCCAGAACACAAATATATACACATACAAGATTAGCTAGGGTAATCTAGAGAAGCAAATGACAATATATACTTTACATAAGTAGAAAACGTAATCTCCTATTTAACCTATGATTGATCTAATCATTTACTATGATTGATCTTTAATAGTAGACCCGACCGATAAAAAATTGCTTTGATTCACGATTTTTGTGTCAAATTGGTAATAATATGGATAATTGAAAATAACATAGGCTTTAGTGGTAAAACGTGAAAATTAATAAGATATTTTCCAATCTATTCTGCACTTGTTAAATCTATAACTAGTTTAGACAAAACATTAAATTTAGACAAAACATTGTTTATTTATTAAGTAGTACCATTTTGGCGTGTTAAGTTTATTCCATTTTGAATTTTATTGTCCTAGTAATTCCGCTATTTTATTATTCACTTATTCATCTGACATACCAGTCAAGTCTTTACCCCTTAGTTTAGAGTTTTCTCTTTTCAATAGATCTACTTGGCATGTAAGATGAATAGTTGAATAATAGAATAACTAAATCATTGCTAGCTGAATGAAATGAACTAAAAAAAGTTTATGTAGAATAAATATGGTAAAAAGCTAGTTTTTGTAGATTTATCACGTTTTATTTTTTAGTTACATTTTAATATGTTAGTAGTATATAGCGGAATCATTTTTTCAAAACGTGAAAACATAAAAACTTGATGAATATTTTGAATAGTAAAAATATCACGTTTTCAAAATTTGAAAACATCAACAAGTGGTATACCATTGAAGACCCTAAATGAATGAAATGTCATTGAATGACAATTATGAGTTTTTTTCTATCTTTTTCAACATGGAGTATTTTAAACACTTAAGGGTTTAAATGATTTTAAGTGCTCTAAAAATCTATAAATGTAATATATTCAATGTATAGAACAATATATTAACTATCATAAATCATAAAATTCAAATATTTCAAATATGTTCGAGATGAACTTTTAGCTCTATTGATATGTTAGTCAGTTTCGAAAAAAGTCGCCTCCTAAAACTGAAACAATTCGTTCTTTAGAGGCGAATGAAATATGCAACCACAACAATGGTCATGGAACCTCAAGATGGCGTAAAATTATCATCCCGATGATTTCCTAATGCTTAAATCAGGAAATATACCATATAACTAGTTAGAAAACAAAAAATCGGTAAAACTTAATATGATAACGTTCTAAATCCAGCCAGAGAAGGTGACATATTCGTGTGGAGCTCATCTATATATGCACAATAAATCTTTATCACTTTACTTCTATATATACGAACGTAAGTTCTATTGTAATTGATTCACCACCACTTGACTCACTTCCATAACAAAGTAAAAAGACAAAGAGTCCTCTCTTTCTATCATTCTCTACAAGTATTCATTTCTTCCTAAAGTTGTGTTTCGTTACATTTATATATGTTTGTGATAATATATCATAGAATAACTAGTAACACTTTCTAACTTTTCAAATACTTCAAGAAAACATTAAACAATGTTGAACCAAAACGTTGCTGAATCTTGAAGACAAAACAACCCATTAACACTCACTACCAGCAAGGACGACATTTTAACGACCATCACGTCTTAAAGCAAACCAAATTTACAATTAAATAAAACAAATGATGTTACAAACAAATTCGTATAAACTGTTAAGTGTTTTGTTTTTCTTTATAGATAGAGAAATCAATTTCTTTGTAATAAACCAATCTCAAGTTTTTTACATGTGGAATCGTTTTCTACGTTTTCTTTCCATTCTTTCATATCAGATATGTCCCGCGTTGTAACAATGTCCGTATCGATTATCTAGTTAAAAAGACAAGAACACGAGATTCTTTACTTTTTCATGTAAGCATTTCGGTTCCGGATTGGCTATCTCGAAAAGAAAATCTTCGATAATAAAATGGTGTTCTGCGGATAAAAAAAAAACAAATGAGGTTACAAACAAATTTGTATAAACTGTTAGGTGTTTTTCTTTGTCAATGTAGATAGAGAAATCAATTTTGGGTAGAAAGAAGTTGTGAACTAACTACCTACCAATATAACTAAAGCCACATGACCATCACTGCCATGAGAAGCTTTTGTTTCCCTCCCATTTCTCTATATTAATGCTGCTTCTCCTCTAAACCATTCCTCTCTCTCTCTCTCTGCCTCCATTTTTAATCTCTCCCTCATCACTGACTCGACTCGGGTCGTGACCAGGTCTGTTCTCTTCTTGATTTGGATCGAACAATTCGTCACCTTTTTTTTAGATCTGTCTTGATTCCGATTCGTGTTTTTTATACCAAAGTTTCGATATTTACGAGGAGGGTCGCGTAAAAATCGAAACTTTTTTCTCAATCTTAGATTCGTTAATATAGTAATGAGATCTGTTTCTTAGTGATTATCGAATTAGTGTAAAGTAGCCTAATTTCGAACATTGAAATAGGAATAATTTATACCTTGTGGATCTGATCATTGTCTCTTTGTTTGTTGTGATTCTCAGTTTTTTTCCATTGAGCTATGGCAACGGGACAGCTTTTTTCGAAGACTACACAAGCTTTGTTCTACAACTATAAGCAGCTTCCTGTTCAACGAATGCTCGATTTCGACTTTCTTTGTGGTAATATAACAATCTACATTGTCAAGTTTTAGTTGGTTGGGATCAAGTTTTGATGTAAAAGATGGTTTGCTTTTACAGGACGTGAAACGCCTTCTGTTGCTGGAATCATAAATCCTGGTTCTGAAGGTTTTCAAAAGCTCTTTTTCGGGCAGGAAGAAATCGCTATCCCTGTTCATGCCGCGTAAGTTTTTAAGAATGTCATGTAGATTCTTGAGAGGAGGAACTAAGTATGTGCAAATCTTGTTTTTAACTTGTGTTTTGTTATATAGCATTGAGGCAGCTTGTGCTGCGCATCCAACCGCTGATGTATTCATCAACTTTGCATCTTTCAGGAGGTTTGTTATGAGAATTTCATGGAACAAACTTAGCATGACTCTCTTTGTGATAGTTTTGTTGATGTTTTTATTGTTTCTTCTGTTTTTTAGTGCTGCTGCTTCGTCCATGGCTGCTTTGAAGCAACCAACTATTAAAGTTGTGGCAATTATAGCTGAAGGTGTTCCAGAATCAGACACTAAGCATCTGATTGCTTATGCTCGTGCAAACAATAAGGTGTGTTTTGTGTGATGATTAGCTTGTGAGACTGATTGTAGTCTGAGCTTGTGAGACTGATTGGGTTGGTTCAGGTTGTTATTGGACCGGCTACTGTTGGAGGTATTCAAGCTGGAGCCTTTAAGATTGGTGACACTGCAGGAACAATTGATAACATTATCCAGTGCAAGCTATACAGACCTGGATCTGTTGGTTTTGTCTCCAAATCTGTATGTGCTTACTTTTCAGAACTTCATATTCTGCCTAAAGCTCAGTGTGATGTCTGAGAGTTTTATTCATTACTCTTCTTTTCCCGCAGGGTGGAATGTCTAATGAAATGTACAATACTGTTGCCCGTGTGACTGATGGGATCTATGAAGGTGAGTTTTGATGTAAAATAATCGACTAATGGGGTACTAAGCTGAAGATTATGAAGACGGTTTTATATTTGGGAATGTTGTTATAGGCATTGCAATTGGTGGAGACGTGTTCCCAGGATCCACTTTATCTGACCACATCCTTCGGTTTAACAACATCCCACAGGTATATACCGATCTTTAATTGTTTAACATCCTTCTCACTGGAACGCTCCTCTGGTGGAGTTTTTTAATATTACAAATTGATCTTATATTATGTTCTTTCAGTTCAACTATGTCTTAATTCAAGAGCTGTATTGCAGATAAAAATGATGGTTGTACTTGGAGAGCTTGGAGGAAGAGATGAATACTCTCTTGTTGAAGCTTTGAAAGAGGGAAAAGTCAATAAACCTGTGGTTGCTTGGGTCAGCGGAACTTGTGCACGGCTCTTCAAGTCTGAAGTACAGTTTGGTCATGCAGTAAGTGGCGCGGAAGAACTTTTAAAGCAATGCCTTTTTGTCTGTCGTATTATTCAAAATAGTTCTTGAACATGTTTATGAATAGGGTGCCAAAAGTGGAGGCGAGATGGAGTCTGCACAAGCCAAGAATCAAGCTCTCATGGATGCTGGAGCTATTGTTCCCACTTCATTTGAAGCCCTCGAAGCTGCAATCAAAGAGACTTTTGAGAAACTGGTTAATTTTCCCCTGTTCTTCGTTAGCTGGCATTGTCTTTTGTTGCAATCTTATGTGTTCTTTTCAATTCCTCTTAAAAGGTTGAAGAAGGAAAGGTCTCTCCTATCAAGCAAGTCACTCCTCCACAAATTCCCGAGGATCTCAATTCCGCAATTAAGAGCGGGAAAGTTCGGGCTCCTACTCACATAATCTCCACCATCTCTGATGACAGAGGTATTGTTGTATAAACTAATCATAGTCTACTGAGTACACAGAGAACCTGGAAAACGAGTTCATATGCCTCTTTAATCCCATTTTCTGATACTTGACTTGACAACAAAATTTGTCATCACATTGATTTTCAGGGGAGGAACCATGCTATGCCGGTGTTCCAATGTCTTCCATCATCGAACAAGGCTATGGAGTGGGTGATGTCATTTCTCTTCTATGGTTCAAACGTAGTCTACCTCGTTACTGTACAAAATTCATTGAGGTATCGGTTTCTCTCTTTGGCTTATTAATCTATTCTTTCTCAATAAACAATGTTCTCATCTCTCTCTGGTCTGCCACTTTTGAAAATTCCTCTGAATTAGATATGCATAATGCTGTGTGCTGATCACGGTC